AGCGCCGTCAGGGCGCCCCAGATCAGCGCAGACGGGGGGATTCCCGTCAATGTGATTATTGTGGCCGACCAGGACATCTCAGGGCTACTTGCTGGAAGCTCCATCCAGAGCTTAAGTCACCTTCTCGCAGTCGTACTGTTGCTATTGCTGAGGTACCACCGCCCACTACCGCCACTCCTGCTACTGCTCCTCCTTGGCAAAGTGATATGGATGCTATCACTTCCCGATTAGATATACTTATGTCTGCTCTGACTTCTCAGAGTCTGACTACTGCTGCTGTCACCACTACAGGTATATCTCGTGCCTTTCACGCTTGTGCCAGTTCATCTCCCCTTTGGATGTTGGACTCGGGTGCGAATGGTCACATGACAGGTGAGGCCCATCACTTCACCACTTTTGACGAGCCGTTACATACACAGGTTCAGTTAGCAGATGGAACACATGCCCCTATTGTTAGTAGGGGTACAGTCCATCTCCCAGATGGCCTTACATTACATTCAGTTTTTCATGCGCCAAAGTTGGCCATGAATCTATTATCTGTACATCAGTTAGCCAGAGATTTTCACTGTGCGGTTGTATTCTTATCTGATTCGTGTTATTTGCAGGACCTGAGTACCAGGAGGATTATTATCAAGGGACATGAGAAAGATGGACTGTATTATCTTGGCAATCCATCTCCAGTTTCACCAATTCCTTCACCTGCACCTGCTTTGTCTTTTTCTGTTCCTAGCTTGCATGCTAGTATTTTACCTAGTAGTTGTCGTTATGATTTTTCGCCACAAACTGTTCAATTGTGGCATGACCGTTTTGGACATACAAATTTTAAATATTTATGTATGTTGTTTCCTGCTTTGAGTAATGCTTGTGTTGGTGGTAAACTTGATTGCGTTATCTGTTCCCTATCAAAACATGTTCGGGCCAATTATATTCCTCGCATGCACCAGTCACCCAAGCCATTTGACCTAATACACTCTGATATTTGGGGACCCTCTCCCGTTACTGCTCTGTCAGGTGCCAGATATTATGTGACATTTATAGATGATCATACCCGTTGTACTTGGGTCTACCTTTTGCATAGGAAGTCTGATGTGCTCCCTATAATCACTCAGTTTTTACAGATGATTAAGACACAATTCGATGTCATTGTTCGTGCTCTTCGTTCGGATAATGCCAAAGAATATGTGTCTGATGCTTTAGTGTCTCACCTTTCTTCTCAGGGTATCCTTCAGCAACTCACTTGTCCATATACTCCTGAGCAAAATGGTGTTGCTGAGAGGAAAAATAGGAGTTTGATAGGGATGGTACGTTGTCTGCTTAGAGGCATGAGGGTACCAAAATCTTATTGGCATTTTGCTGTTTTGACTTCTACCTTTCTGTGCAATCGTACGCCGAGTCGTGTTCTTCAGCATAAGGCTCCCTTACAGGTCTTATTTCCTGAGCGGACACTTTTTCCGGTCCCCCCTCGTGTTTTTGGATGCACATGTTTTGTTCAGGATCGGTCTCCTACTCGTCATAAACTTGATGATAAAGCGATTCGTTGTATCTTTGTGGGCTATTGTCATCAATCTAAGGGGTATCGCTGTTATGATCCTATTAGGCGTCGTATGTATCACAGTCTAGATGTTACCTTTCTTGAGCATATTCCTTTTTTTCCTTTCAGTCCTTTGTCTGCCCCTTCAGTTGATGATACTCCCTTTGACTTCCCATTACCACAAGAGTCAGAGTCATTGATCACTATCCCTACAGGGTCATCCGTTTTTCCTCCCAAGGAGTCACTCATCCCTGTCAGTACAGAGTTACCAGTCTCTCTTCCTTTGCAGGTGTATGCTCGTTGTCCTCGCTCTCATCACCCTGCTGATATCCCCTCTACCTCAGGCGATGCAGGTAATACTTCTCAGTTTGTTGAGCATATTGATGCACCTGTTGTTAGTACTGATGAGATTACAGGTGCTGAGCCAGTTACTTTACCTGATAAGATATTATCAGTAGAGGATGGTGATTTAGGGCGTCGTTATCCAAGGCGTGATCGCCGTCCAGTTGATCGATATGGTTGGACCGCCAAGATTTTATATCCGATCTCTGCTTATGTTTCTTATGGTAATCTGTCTCCCACATTTCGAGCTTATACTATGGCCTTATCAGATACGCTGGTTCCTCGCTCTATTTCGGAAGCTATGCGGGAGCCCCAGTGGGTTCTTGCCATGCAGACAGAGATGGACGCTCTTCAGCGTAATCATACATGGGATCTTGTCTCCTTACCTTCAGGGGTGAAGCCTGTTGGCTGTCGCTGGGTTTACACCCTGAAGTTTCTGGCAGATGGTACTATTGATCGTTACAAGGCTAGACTTGTGGCGAAGGGCTTTACTCAGGTACCAGGTCGTGACTTTGGTGCTACATTTGCCCCCGTAGCAAAATTGACTACTGTTCGGTTAATTATTTCTCTGGCTGCGGAGTACTCTTGGCCTCTTCATCAATTAGATGTGAAGAATGCGTTTCTTCACGGTGATCTGGACGAGATTATTTATATGGATGCACCACCGGGCTTTCGTGGTGAGGGGGAGTATGCTGGAAAGGTATGTCGACTGCGTAAGTCTCTTTATGGACTGAAACAGTCGCCACGAGCCTGGTTCTCTCGCTTCAGTGATGTAGTCATACGATTGGGGTTCACCAGGTGTCATTCTGATCATACCTGCTTTATTCGACGGAATACTTCTGGACAGTGTGTCATCCTTCTGGTATATGTTGATGATATTATTATTACTGGTGATGATGTTTCTGGGACTGCGCAGGTCAAGGTAGACCTTGGGAAGGCCTTCGATGTGAAAGATCTTGGATTTCTGCGATACTTTCTTGGGATTGAGGTTGCCCGTAGAAGCAGAGGTATTGTTCTTTCTCAGAGAAAGTATGTTTTGGATCTTCTTTCAGACACTGGGATGTTGGGGTGCAAACCGGCATCATCACCTATGATTCCAAACCTGAAGCTTACTACTGAAGGTGAGGAGTTGAAAGATCCGACAGTTTATCAAAGATTGGTAGGTAGACTTATCTACTTAGCCAATACTAGGCCGGACATTTCATTCGCAGTCAGCCGAGTTAGTCAGTTCATGCATAGGCCATGTCAGCCTCATCTTGATGCAGTTTATCATATTCTTCTGTACCTCAAGTCTTGTCCTGGACTTGGGTTGTTTTATGCATCAGGATCTCAGACCGGTTCTCTAGCCTGTTATTCAGATTCAGATTATGGGGGAGCATGTGATGGTCGATCTACTACGGGTTTCTGTGCTTTTCGAGGGACTCATCTTATCTCTTGGAAGAGCAAGAAGCAGGCAGTTGTCTCCCGCTCGTCCGCAGAGGCAGAGTATCGGGCATTGGCACTTGGCACATGTGAGATTATCTGGCTACGATCGATTCTTGACGAGTTGGGTTTTTCAGTGACCTCTCCATCCACATTATATTGTGATAATCAATCTGCTATTCAGCTCGCTTCTGACTCTGTACTACATGAGAGAACGAAGCATATAGAGATCGATGTTCACTTTCTTCGGGAGAAGGTCAGCAGTGGTCTTGTTACTCCATCGTTTGTGGGGACCAGTGATCAAGTTGCAGATGTTTTTACCAAACCTGTCACTCTGTCTATTCTTCGGGACTCCGTTGTCAAGCTTGGCTTAGTTGACATTTTTGCGCCTAGCTTGAGGGGGAGTGTTGGAGTATAGATAGTAGTCTAGGTTTATTAGGATTCCTTTTCCCTTTTTTACCCTTACTATGATTTTTATATTTTGCCTAAACTACAAGGATGTTTAAGTCACTCTGTATTATTTTTGGCTATATATACGGGACTCTACTTTGAGTTTGAGTATCCCTTTCACATATTCCAAGTGTTACTAATAGAATTTTTGTGAAAATTGGCGGTCTAAGGGCAAGATCAAAATTTCAATAAATAGCATGTCAAAATGACTTTTGTTAGCCTTCCTACATATTATGTATCTTCATTTTTTTCTCTAAAATAAATCTCTCTTTATCTCTCTATGTTAAATATTTTTAAAGTGGGGAAAAACCTCAATGCGCAAAAATTATTGAAAAATGGAGGGTATTAATATTATGGTCTTTTTATATCGCACCATTACTCTTGTTGATTGTCCCACCCTTGCCGGATATTTTGCTTGGAATGAAGTGTAAATTTCTAAATCAAAGGGGCTTGATGTTTCGGACCCAAACTGCTACGAGGTAAAGTGCTACACTTTAAAAATATAGGGCACCGTTACTGCAAGGATATGACTATTAAAATAATATAATATATTTTTTAGATAATAATAGATTTATAATATATTAACATAAAGCATATATTATATAATATTAATAGTAACACCTAACAAATATTAATTTTTTGATTAATATTGAAATAGATTAAAATAAATATCCAATATTTTTATCAAACATCATTACATCCATTAACATTCATAGTATATAAGTAATATAACAAAAAATATATTAAAAAAATAGAAATCACACCCCTTTTAATTGTTAACAATCATTTTTTAGAAAAAAAGAAAAAAAAATGTTTCGTATCTTGATCGTGTTCAACTGAGTTTATTATTCAAGACACTTCTAGTATCTAACACGTGCCCGACCATTTCTGACGTGTGCCCATGTCGGACACATGCCCAACACTGCGATGGCACCCCTTAGAGAAGTATTTGTGCTTCCTAGCTTTAAACTGAATTACACATTTATCTTCCAGTTGCACTATATAGTATGCAATGTAGGACACCATGATTGCTCAGTCCAGTTAATTCATCTTCTTTATGTATTATGCCAGAAGAAATGATTTTATTTGGAATCACATTCTATTGGCTTTGATGTCGGAATGTCTTCTTAAAGCACCACAGATCTCAATCAGCAGGTCCCAAAATCATCAGGTCAATTATTGTTGTGTCCGGTAGTGGGAACTAGTAGAGGAAGGCACCTTGACACCTACTATTACTGAGATGATCTTGGTTCATATCAAAAATATTTAAAAACTGGGATTATAGTTCTGAAGTTGAACCGAGTCTCTCCCTTCTGCAGTGCTATTATTTTTCTCCATAATACCTGGCATCTGTTAATCTCTATCTCTCTATATTGATAATTTGCCTTCTAGATTTATTGCAGAAGCAAAGGAGACAATCTTTCCACCTTCATGAGTATAAGAAAGTTTTTGTAGTTTACTTTAGATTGAAAGTTTTTGTAGCTTACATTAGATTAACTTATGTGAGATATTCTGCTTAACTTTTTATGAAGCTATCTATCCAGTGAAATCTAACTTGGCAATGTCAAGTCAATTTGGATTTACTACTTTGACAGGGTCAACTCAGTCAGAATTGCTGAAGTTGCAGAAGGAGAAGTTAAGAGCAATGGATATCAAAGACACACTAGAAAGGCTAGACAAGTCATTACAATTAGTAAACGGGAATGTTTCTGTGGTTGCTGCCGAGCTTGCTATTCAATCCGTAGAGTTGCAGTTCCATAAAACGAGAACGAGAAGAAAATTGCAATGATGATGATGGTGCGGAGAAGAAGGGAAGAAGAGATGTCACAAAACCTCTATCCATATTTGGCACTTGATTGGAAATAGGAAGCAGCATTCCAGTTACAAATGAAAGCCAACAGCCCTTCTGGCTATAAGAATTTTAGGGGATTGAATATTTGCACACACGACTTGGATTGTCTCCTTTTTCATTATTTTTTTCGGTTTTTTGTTGTTCAGATGGTTGCATTGCTTGGGTAAAATCTCTCTCTCTCTCCCCTGTTGTGAGTCTTGAAGTCTTACTTGGTTGTGGGCTTGTCAAGTGCATTCGGCTCTTCAGACAAGGGCCTCCAGCTGTACATTAGTAGTAAGTATTGAAATTACACAGCTGAGTTGCATATCCCTTAAAAGCTTATTGGATACTTTTTGTGTCACTTCGGGACAATGAATTAACTCAACTAAGACTGCATTTGATTCTCTGTCTCAATGTTTTTCATTTGATCATGAGTGGGTTAAGCATACTTTCAATTTAGAAGTTAATTTTGACATGAGAAAATGCGTAATGTCACATTTTTTTTGGTGAAAATTTGACTTAGTTCTAAGCCCGATTGACGGAGATTTAGATTTGGTCGACTTTAATTAAGTTCGTCCTCTTTTATTTCAATCTACGTTATGACCATTTTAAGGGATTGAGATATTCTATCATAATGTTTTGTAATTTAGCTTACACAATATAGATTAAGTTAAAATTGTTCGTATATAAAAGAGTCTCTCATCAATACACAGGAGGTGAGTAAAAAATAATATCATAATATACTCAGATTATGCTATAATTTACAAGTTGAGTTAATGTCAAAATATCTAATTTAAAAATGAGTTTAAATTAAAATTAATTAATACTCGACATTTAATCAAATAAAACATGACTAAAACTAGTCAGATTGCGTTCCACCTTATCCTAAATCCGATGCACCAATGATATCCGGTTAGGTCCACATTCTACCATAGCCGGTGGACTCAAAACAATGAAAATGAAAGGCTCAAATTTGCCTCCCAAGCACAGATATTTTCTGGACATTTTTTTTCCCAAATCAGCTTCATAACACCGAATTATAGATATTTGCAGAAGTGTTAGTTTTGGCCGTTATTGTAAAAGGATCACAACACACACACACACCCAACACCTCCACAGGGAGAGATGGGGTTGACCTCTGTCCCCTTCTTTTATGCTTCAATAACCAGCAGCAGCGTCTTCCTCACAAAACCTTTCCTGCCTAGACTTGCTTCTCCTAAGCTTCAATTTTCTGTAAGTTTGAATTACTTTGACCTTTTTAATCCAAAGTTTTCGCATTAACTTTATATCTGATTATGATACCGCCATTGTTGGTTAGTGGAATCAGCTGAGGCAGACTTTTAAACTTCTATAGATGTAAACAGCACATTTCATGTGGTGTTAGGTGCTCCATTTTATTTTTCCATTGAGGCCAAACCTAGATGTAAAGGGTTGTAAAGATCGAAGCATTGTTACCAGTTAATCCTCGAGGGTGCGAGGTCCACTGGACTGAGTACAAACCTAACCTTGTTATTTGCGACTGCCATCATATACGAATCTAGGTTGTTAGTACCACTGCACCATGCAAACCACCTCTCGAACTGGTCCAATGTCATGAAGAGCTAATCTTTCCTAAGTTCAGGTGGAAATACGCCCTTGATGAGTTTTATGTGTGACAACATGAGGGACTTAATTCATTATAACTGTTCAATTGAATTTTCTGGCTCTCATGTTGTCACACATAAAACTCATCAAGGGTGTATTTCCACCTGAACTTAGGAAAGATTAGCTCTTCATGACATTGGACCAGTTCGAGAGGTGGTTGCGTGGTGCAGGGGTACTAACAACCTAGATTCATATATGATGGCAGGCACTCCTGCCCACAGCACCCCTCACTGCCTAGTCAAACACCACCCAAGGTTTCCTTGAGGGAGCAGCAAGTTGGAGCCTGAAAAGTGGGGCTGGTCTATCACTAATCGACTTGCCACCGTGCTACAACATGCCCCCGACATCCACCATACTCCATCAAACATTGGGGCCTGCTACTAATGCAATGACTACAATGAATTAGGTTCTAAATTAGGTCCAAGTAGCATTGCTCCTTAGAAATTGGTCACATGATAGTATAATTCACGTTTTTGGATTAGAATTCTTTAAACCTATTTGTGGGCAAGTTTTGGGGGAGATCCTTAGGATCTAAATAGAGTTTTCCTCTCAAATTATGATTTCTTCCTTTATAGTCCCTTGAATGGGTATGCGAAATTTATAGTCTTATGTAAATATTACTTATTTCAACTCCTTTCATGTCACAATGGTGGTTCCATGGGGTAAAAACAAGTATAGGAATGGACAACTTTTTCCCAAAACCCGTATCACATTTTACTGAAAACACTTATTAGCTAGAAGGGGATTTTGGGGCTTAGTCTCTTTGGATACCTACACATTGAACAATGTAGCCCTCTATGTGTCAAAGATTTCAAAATTTTATTGTGTTTTCCCTTTTTGCAAATGATCGGTTAGTTAAGGTTGGATGCTTTGTGTTGCTGTTCGGATTTGTGAACTGTTTGCTCAGTTTATCTACTTTGGGAAAACAATTTAATTACCTTCATCCTTATGGAGAAGAACCATAGCGAACATTTGGAAGTACCATATAATCTTCTAATCAGGTGTCATTAGGCATACCTGTGGCCTCGATTCTCTCATAGCCATAGGTCTTTCCATGTTTCCTTTTGGTAAAAAAGAGAAGCCACATACTCTCACGTGGTTTCCCTTCCTTTCCCATGGCTCCCAAACCTGAAGAAACTGCAGCAATCCGTTAGATTTAGACTACTCAGGTTCTTTCTCCTAGCTGCCACCTTTTTGGTTTATATTATACGAACACATTGATATGGCTGGACCAGAGTTACTATCAACCAATGAATTAAATTAGCTGTCATGTCTAATTATGGAGCCTGGAAGACAATGACTAGATGGCACTTTTACATCCATAAACACATACTACCAGCATTAAACCTCGAATACTTCCTTCAATAATTAGTATTATATAAGCTTTTTCCATATTGATTGATCACAAAGGCTCTAGTTCTCTTTTTCCAGATGAGTAAAATGTGTATTTATTTTGTCTATGAGACCTGAATCTTGCAACCTTTGCTTTTTTCCCAAGTTCAGCCTGTCCAAAATAAGGATAAAGTTGCCTAGCACTTACATCTACCAAATCCCACTATAACCGGGAAACCTTATGCATTGTGTATGACATTTTTATTATCATCTTTAGAAAAAGACATCTATCTTGATGAAATTTTATGATGCAATTCAACAAATAATTTCCCAGCAATCCTTTGTAACAATTTTTGTTTGTAAAGGTACACTGAAGTTAGTGCTGGTTTTGAAGTTATACAATCAACTATTTTACTGGAACAAGATCAGAATCCTAACTTCCCTGAAAATTGACTAAAATTATGAGCTGGAGCATCAACTCAGCTTAGTAACCATTGTACTCAATTTATAATACCATGGTATTTCATATTGTACTCTTTTTCTAAATCTAAAAAATAAACAATTTTCATGACTTACTGAAATTGGATTGTGAAGCATACTTAATTTTGGCTTAATCTATTGGTGCATCCTCTTTAGTCTATTCTTGCAGTTTTATCTGGCAAATCTAATACCATGATAGAATTGGTCTTTCCAATTTCATTCACCTTTGTTCTGTAATTCATGCCTGAATTTAGGCATAAAAATAACTTGGCTTCACAAAAAGTGGATGTTTCCACCTTTATACTGGTCTGCCATACTGCTATTGTTGATACCAAAGTCAACAGTCAGCTGATACTATTGAAGAAGTGCAATTTCTGACTGTAAAGCTTCAGTTTTTGTCCAGATAATCCACCGTGTAAATTCTTTGAGATCCTCGATATCATTTGTAAAGGACACATGCTGTAAAGTATTTTGCAGTCAAGTGAAAGTTGAAGATAACGTAGATGATGAGGCGTGTGAGTTAGTAAATGGGGTGGAGCTTAACATAGGAGAGGAAGTTGATAGCGTCAATGCCTATCTTTTCAAGGCCGTGAAGAACAACAATGGAGCTGGTATATTGCTCTTGTCTGACATCTTTGGGTTTGAAGACTCATCCACAAGAGATTTTGCATATCGTGTTGCCTGTAACGGTTATAAGTAAGTTTCCGGACCTTAATATGCCACAATTTTGTGAGAAAATAATCATCTACTTTGTAACATGTATCAAAGACACTTGCATTTTTCAAACTGAAATTAGGCCACTTATATAATTTTTGGGTGTTTGTGAATAATACTGCAGTGTTCTAGTACCAGACTTGTTTCGTGGTGATCCATGGACAAAGGACAAGCCCAAAGCTTTGTTCGAGCAGTGGCTTGTAGCACAAAACCCACAAAGGGTTGCAAAAGATATTGCCATGTCGACAAAATGGATGGTCGATGAATTCATAGCTGCAGGAATCTCGAAGAAGCTTGGTATTATTGGGTTTTGCTTTGGAGGCGGCTTACTGATGGACGTGCTAGCCCAAGACAAGGATGGCTTTTATGGAATGGGAGTCTCATTCTATGGCACAAGGATAGATCCATCTGTTGTTGCTAATATAGAAGTTCCTGTATTGTTTATTGCAGGTGACAATGACCCACTTTGTCCTGTCAGTGTTTTACAAGATATTGATAAGAGGATTAAAGGGTCAAGGGTGGTGATTTTTAAGGCAAGAGGGCATGGTTTTGCCCACCGTCCTGAATCTCCTGAAGAAGATGGAGATGCAGAGCAGGCCTTCATGATTATGAAAAATTGGCTGTATGAGGGCTTGGTTGTAGACGATTGACTACTTTCTTGTTTGGTGACATTCTCCCCTGTATGTATGTATTATCGGAGGTGAAGTTCTTTTTCATTCTTTTTCGGTATCATTTGTTTTGGGGGACGTGTATATTAATGTGAAGATCATGATGATGTTTGCAGCCTGTGTCAATGATAGTCTTGATGATGACAATGTTCCATTTCTAGTTGTTTTTTTTTGTTCCGTTTTGTCTATGATCCCATGGTTGCAAATTCGGTGGCTAATCTGAATTCAGTGACATTGAAATGGTTGAACTGATTGCAGCATGTTGGTCATCAAATCTCGGTTTTGAGGTTGACCAGAGGAAGAATGCATGATACGATCCTTCTCCCAGTCAAATGCCCAGAACAATAGGATATGGCCCTTCGACCACATTGTTCCTAGTAACCAAATGGCATTACAGAGGACAAGTGAACGGGATCAAGCCTTGAGAACTTTGATCCTCCGGGATCAATTGCATAATATCATTGTTTGGACATTGCTCTCAGAAAGAAATCCGCAAAATGAGAAACTCTCACAACTTGGTCACTGGTGTACAAACTGAAAAGTTGCACCCAGTTCACAACGTATTGTTTGGGGGTTTCACAGTTGAGCACTGCAAGTGTGCTTTACGATGTCGATATAAATAGGAAAAGCTTCTAATTATTCTTTTATCCATGAAGCATGGATTGACCAATGCAAGCGTTCACATGTGCATGAGTTAATTGAACTGACTCAGGATTACCCAATTAGATTGGTAATAAAAATCCTAGTAAGACTCAGAATCATATAGTGGGACTTGATCACGCTAAGTGGTAGAGATTGGTTGGTCTTCTCTCTTCCGTGTCTATATAAACATGGGGTGGATCACAATCATATCATGCAATTGAAGAATTCCAGCCAATTCTCTCTCTTCAAATTCTCTCTAGATCACCATCAAACACCTTGGCATTTGGAATGTGTAGTTTTGGAAAGACTCTAGTAACCATTTTACTCAACAAGAAAGGTTATTTCCAGATGTAGAAAATTTTTGAATGTTTGTGATATCTGGATAAGAATGAGGTACTATAACGCAAGGGAGCTAGTAAAACAAGTTAATCCATCCAAAACTTTTAAATTTAATACGATTGAGTATTCCGCATAAGTCCCTATGTATACCTACAATAAAGTATATAAAGTATCATTTATTCATGCAGATGTTCACCAATATCATAGCCACTTATTAATGCTTTGGTTGGGGGCTCACCTAAAGCCTTTTGCTATTGCTGCTAATTGTGGACAGTTAGTTCATCCCAGTTGCATGTCTACTGTGTTGAGTTTGCTGTTGTTAGTTTTAGAAGTCAAAAGTTTCAAACCTTTTTTTAGTCCAGAAGTTACAAGACATTACAGTAAAGTCCAACATTTAAAAAACATGGCAATATAGTTCATTCGGTTTGACTATTTATACAATCTATTGGGTAAAATTTACCAACTTTTGGGATACACTCACCTTTTGGATTCACTTACCATTTTTTCGGTTCACTTAGCACTTTTTGGGGTAGAACTTATCCCTTTTTATTTTTTATTTATAAATTGTTGGAGTATTTTTTTTCGGGTAATGTTTTCCTAGTTCATTAGTTTTTTTTTTTTTGTCAGTTTATGTACATCTCGATTAATCTCCTCTTCGATGTAGTCAAAATCAAGTCATTCATGCCAAGACTAGGGTATTCATGAGAAATAAATCCTTCATGACTTAACCCCTAACGATTATCAAGATTTAAAATCAAAATGTCTGAATTTACGGTTCGTCTTTATTACCACTAAAGTTATCCTTTGGAGTTCTAATTCATTAGTTACGAGACATGAGTTAGACTTTAATAACAATCAAATTAACCATTAGGATTGTACCAAACCGCACCTCATGCATACACCCACTACTCCTTTGATTATTCTCTCAAATCTTTGTCAACCATGATATTATCAACTTGGTCTTTTTATTCCGGTAACCTGGTCATTGCGGAAATCAATTAAGAGTTTTAGGGGTTGTATCTTAGAGTTCTAAAAAATTATGATTCGCCGAGAGAATTTTGTCTTCATAGAAACACATATTCAAATGCGTCTCTAGTAAGCAAGCCAAAACATTCTAACTCTTATTTTTGATAAGAAACAAAATTTTATTAATAATAAAAATGGATGTAATACAATATGAAAGTAAAGGTGGACAAGTTGTCGAACCATAGTGCCTCATGGCAAAACAACACATCAATAACAGAAAAATAAACATCATGGGTAATTATGATATACTTTATTTTGTTAATAAAATTGGAAATTCAATATTGCTATAATGTTGTTTTATTGAATCATCGTCATATAGGAACACAAAGTTTAGGTGATCCAATAAAAATAACAGTATGCCTTCACACGATCCTTGTATTGTATGTACCAACATTAATTTCTTTCAGACACATTCTAGACTTCGTAACATCATCCTTTTTGTCTTCAAGATGAATGCAAGTATGAAACAGCGAACATGTATGCAGGATATCGGGCTTCAAGCTCTTCTTTGTCAAGAGTACTAGGGTTAGTATCAATTGGAAATCCTAGAGTTTCTCGCTCTACACTCACAGTTTATAGGCACTGGATGAACAAAAAATGCCTAATATTATTTTTAAATAATTGATATAGTATGGCATGAATAGTTACGGACTTCATCGGTACGATTATTAGGAATCTGTGCAGTAACTTACGGACAATATATATCAACCAAAACACGACTTGAATATAACACGAACCCAAACAAATTGATACAAATATAGCACAACCCAACCGGATAGACACCCCTGGATGCAAACTTTCTACACTTTTTGTTACATCTTCCTTAGTTGCATGGATATACATTGTTGCAATTTGAACAACTGACCCTGTTTTTTCCTCACGACAAACTGCTCAGTATATGACAAGAACTAGACACAACCAAAACAATTGAGACCTTGCAAAAATATTAGAGAAGTATTAAAAAACTAATCCCATCAATAAGACAAATATTTGTCTTTGTACAGCAAAAAATTATCCCATAAGCGTGAAGGTTGCGATGAGGAATTCAGTTATTCTAAACCTGAGACAAAATATTTCAATTTAATGCCTGAAAACTTGTGAATATATACACCAGATAAAACATCATAGCCCAAGCTTTGGTTCTCTACATAATGACATATTTCAATACCCTTTTTAAAATGATAAAATTTTCTCCCTTGAGCCAACAAAAATATGCAAACCATTATTCAAATGCATGAATCAAATGTCTTATCTCTATGAAATTTAATCAAGTTCACATAGTACCAAAGCAAGTTTCATTAAATGATGACTTAACACAGCACAATGCTGCAAATAATACAATTATTACTCTTCTTCTATTGAAAATTGAAACCCATTCGTATTAGAGTTACATAGCAAAAAAAATAAGTGTTCCAAGATAAATTGCAGTACATTGCATTTAATGATCACAATCCAAAACAATCTAGGTACTACATAGGCAAAAAGGAAGGGGATGAGGCAACAACGGTCTAACTCAGAAATAGACTGATTTAGGCCAGAGTACTTGAAAGCCATGTTAGTCCTGTCCACCACAGAAAAATAAAAGAACGTTATCACAATTGCTTTCTGGAATATAACTTCTAAATAAAATGCATGCAGGACAACAAAGTAAAACATTCAAAGGATAAAAACACAAGAAGCAGCCATAATGCATTAGTCTGAGGGCCACAGCCCAAACTTCCCACTGCACCTATTACCATTATTTATACTTTAGTATCGATCTCTTTTCATTCCTCAAACTTGATCACTTATTACACTAAGGCACTTGAATATAATATTCTTGATTGATTTATGACTAACAATTGTCTCAATGTCATACTTTGTTATCACAGATATTGTACTTGACACAAGTATTTTGTTTGGCTGATGAGAAAATATACGAGGAACATAGAGATTAATATCTAACTATTCATCTTTGAGACCTCGGAAAACAATAGATTTCACTGAATGGGATCTCCATTTGCCAAATAGATGGATTTGAACTTTTTGATGAATTAGGGGTGATATACGAATTGGATTACCATAGAGATTTGGATTGAAATTCTAATTCTTAGCCAACTTGGATATGCATTGAATTTTTCAAATTTTTTGGATAAGCATATCGGATCAGATTGAGTAAACCATATTTCTAATTCAGAAATAGCACAATCCAATTCAATCCAAAATTTCATTCACATTTAAAAGATAACCCCTCTTCCAACAAAATTTGAAATTGAAGTTGAAAGGCTAAAACCAATGAACAAAGAGTGACCCCCTTTATTTTACTTTACCGGTGAAGTTTCTTCATTTTTTGAAATTTAAAACTGTATTAAAAAAAAAAAGCAAGATAGAGAAAGAGGCATGTAAGGATTTTCCGCAATTGTTTGTTATTTTAGTTTCAGTTAGTCAACTTTTTGATTCAAGCTCTTTCTCTTCTTATGTTTACGTTGATTAGGATCGGAAGTCCAAGAAGTAGATTGGAATTGCACATAGAGCTAGTGACTCCCATAATCTAGAGCATTTACATATTCTTGTGGAGTCTAGTTCTTCCCAGCTATCTTCTCTCTTCTACTACTCTTTTTTCTCTTGTCATGTTGATTTATCACCTTCTCCTGTTTCCACTAAAGGTGATTCTATATATTACTTGACACATAAATATGATTTCTTTGAAATTTACTGCAACTTTAATTCCATGGTCCACACTCAGATCTCTATCAATATAAAAGTTCTGTTCTGGAAGGGGAATGTTTGTTGAAAGACTTCACTGATTTTCTGCATGCATCTGGCACTATACATCAGCCAATCTTACTTAGGTACTCCTGACGCCTGAGGAATATGGCATTGCTTAGCATAAACACACAAACATATTCTTGAAATTACAAGTGCTCTTTTGATTTCTTTCTTTATTCTGTGTCTCTTTTAGGGTCAAGTTGTTCTTACGGTGATTTATTTTGTTAAACTGTATGTCAACCCCACTTCTATCAAGTGCTTCTCCATATAAAAAATAGTTTGGAAAACTTCCAAATTAATCTCTTCTACGTGTCTTTGGTTTAACTTGTTTTGTTCTCCTTCCTAAGCGCGAGAGAAGTACATTGAGTGCTCAATCAGAAATATCGATGCTATGATCCCATGTCTAAAAAATTGTATGTTCTTGGAAAAGTTGTTTTCCTTGAACGCATTTCATATTCTACCACACCTTCCAAAGTAGCTCTTGGTTCAAGAGATGAGCTTGTGTGAACTAACCCTTTTCCCTTAGATGAGTCTTGTGAAGAGTTTGTCTCATCTCTTGATGTTTCCGACCTTCCTTTTTTCAGTTCATGCTCCTTCATCTTCTCCCCCTCACACATATGTTCTCTCTCTCCCTATCCCTTGGTCTACTCTCAAAAAAGACATTATCTTCCATATTCTTGAGTATTAACTCTAATAGCCCCATTTTTTTATTATAGGAAACAAATTTTATTAATATATAAGACACAGATTAAATTAAACGATCCGGGATGGACAAGTTGTCCAGGCCTTAAAGACAAACAAAAATCATAAAAAAGTGACACAAAACACACAAAGGAGCCAAAAAACCACCATCACACTATCATCCACACGATGCTAACCAACTTGATGTGATACAAAAGAGGGGGACATTCTAAAACTCTCTTGTCACCAAAACCCCAAAAGAAGCTAAGAAATAGATTTTGTCCCACATCCTTCCACCACTTCTTCTCAATCTTCAAATATTCTCGAATTCTTTTCCAACCAAAAATAACCCAAACAATTGTCAACATCGCACATTACCAAAGATACCACTCTTACCTCTCCCACCCAACCCTTTGAAATCCACACAAAACATAGATGATATGGATTGTGGGGCCACCCAAAAAACCCCAACCATTTCAACTTGTTCCATAAGGATAATGCAATAGAACAATGCAAAAAAAGATGATCCTCTCTTTCACAACTTGCTCTACGCATGACACACCATTGTGGACAAAGATTGGTATAAGGCCTTCTTCTTTGGAGCATATCACAAGTATTAATCTTCCCATGAGCAAATACTCATGTAGAAACTTGCACTTTCAACAGCACCTTAGCCTTTTAAATTTTCAATGATGGGTAAAATAGAGGAATGAAAAGATCATCAATCAAGAATTTAGAAAAGGATTTACATGAGATGGAACCCAAAGGATCAATGAACCAACACCTTTTATCAACCAACTCTTGGTTCAAAGTGACCGACTCAAGCAAGGTAAATAATGGCACTACTTCCAATGACTCCCTATCATTAAGATTCCTACAAAACCCAAAGTCTCAAGAATAAGGGAAAGAATTCAACCTAACCATAGAGGCAACATTATGGTTCACGATAGCAAGAAAGCCAAACCAGAGGAATGGTATCACTAACTACAAATATGACTTCACATATGAATGTAGCATTTGTAGTTATATTAACAACTCCCCTACAAAAAAACTCATCAAATACCTTCATAAAATCATCTTTAACCACTTTCCAACATTCTTGAAATAAAGTCATTGTGAAGCTATCGGGCCCATGAGCTCTCTCTTTACTACACTCGAACACTGCTGCCCTAACTTCATCCACCTCAAAAGGTCTTTCCATCCAACTCACTTTCCTTCATCAATGGGACACCAATCAAGACCCTTTACCCTAAGCCTAGAACAATCTTGATCCAAGTAAAGGTTAGAGAAAAAACTAACGATCTCCCTTTCAATATGCTCCTCCTCCTCAACGATCACTCTATCATCAATTTTCAACTTGTCAATGATTTTCTTCTTCCTATTTCCATTAGCCACCCTATGGAAAAATTTAGAATTAATGTCCCCTTCCTTTAACCATTTAACTCTAGCTTTTGCCTCCAACTAATCTCCTCCTTGAAAACTACCACTTCAAACCTATTTCTAAGATCTCACCTCTCTTGTCTCATACCCTCATCAAAACTCCCCTCTTCTTCTAACTTATCAAGATCTTCAATCCTTTCCAAAACCCTTGATTTTGCAACACTAATACCACCAAACTCCTCTTTATTCCAAACCTTAATCTTTTGTTTGAGAAATTCAAGCTTTTTCATAAACTTATAGCCTCCCCATCCGTGAACCATGCTCTTCGACCACCATTCCTTGATTTTCCTCCTAAAAGACCTTTGTTGAAACCACCTATTCTCAAACCTAAAAGGACATGGACCCCATCTCATAGCACTGATCTATCAAGAATAATAAGGAAATGGTCTGAAACAACTTTAGGTAAAGCCTCCATCCTAGCTCCCAAAAAACAATCCTCCCACCCATCCAACTATCTAACCTCTTACAAATTGGGTTACTCCAAAAATTAGACCAAGTAAAAACACCATTAGCCAAAGAGAAGAGGTAAGGGATCTCTAAGTTCAGTTTCCCTAATAAAAGTCAAAATTCCTCATACTTCTAGTAATTCTCCCGCCATTCAACTTTTCTAAAGGATACCTAATGACATTAAAGTCCCCACCCAAACACCACCTAGGGCTACATATACCATACAGTCCAGCCAATTCTTCCCACAAGTACATTCTAAGCCTTGGTTTATTAAAGCCATATACACCAATCAACCACCCTTCTAACCCTTCCCTATGTTTGACTCGGATAGATATTATAAATTCTCCTTCCATAAATTCATCAACTTTCACCACCCTTTCATCTCATATAATAATTATACCCCCTAAACTAGCCACCAATGGTAGAAGCACCCAATTTGTAAACCTAAATCCCCACACACTCTTAATTAACCTTTTATCAACAACCTCCAACTTTGACTCCACCAAATAACAATATCCGGCCCATATCTCAAAAAAAAAAATTTCTAGAACTTCTTTTGCTACTAGATCCTAATCCTCTAATATTTCAACTAAGAATCTTCATAACAAACTAAAGCTCTCTCATCCACCTTCTTAACACTTTCCCATCACAATTGATGCCAAAATGCAAATTTCTTAACTCTCGATTCCCTCTTTTCTTTCTCACACTCCTCATTTCCCCCTTCTTTTTAGTGGGAGCTAACAACTTCATCTTCCTTAAGAAATTCTTAAGGATAATTCACTTTTTCTCATCAGTTATGAAACATATATCCTCACAAACAAATGTTATCCCAATCTCCCCTCCCACCTCCAAATTCAAGTCATCCTCATCCCCCTCATAGCAAATGATATCCCCACCGGACACAGTTTGCAGATTCCTTGGAACATAATTATTTATGGAGTCCCTATTATCACGCAAAGTTCCAACTTAGTATAAGCCAATATTGGTTCAACCAATGGGTACACATGACCTTCCCCACTACCCTAAAAAAAGGCCCAATGTCAAAAAACCCCACAACTCATCCCAAAAATACATGCTCATTAGATAGACACTAGAATTCCTTCTAAGAACCGCACAAAGAATTTCCCAACCCATTAGAGGGCTCCCCCTCCCCCCAACGCCCAACCCCAACATAGACAAAGAAGAACTAAGACAACCCCCCCCCCCAAAAAAAAAAAAAAAAAAACACCTTCCCTGCCCACCCAAAAAGCAAGGGAGTGCATTAGGAATAAACTCAAAAAGAAGACTTATGTTTGTTGAATTTTTCACACAAAATTCTATTTGTTTCGCCAAGAATCACTCCACCAAATCCATTTTCATCATCCTTAACTCCAAACAACTTTTGTTTGTCAACAAAAGCCACTTCAAGATAAACATATAGATTTATCTTGCTTTCGCTCACTCAAACCCTAGCCTCCAAACTGTCCATAGAATCATCAGACCCATCAGAATGCATTCTGACCTCATTCAAATCGACAAAGCCCCCCTCCATTTCTAGCATGGATTTTCGCTAAAGGCAGTCACCCTCATACCCATTATTGACGTCAAAATCATCTCGAATCCCTTGGCTCACATACTTGAAAGCATCTTCACTACAACCCAGTGCATCGTCTACAATCATAACCTCCATTCTCTTCTTTGACTTACCCGTCTTCCAAAGAGTCTTCTCTGGACCATCAATCATGCTCAGAAGCCTCAATAGACTCTTCCTCCATCTGTGAAGAAGGGACAACCCTAACTTACGGCTTGTCAGCCTTTCAACTGGACACTGTTTTAGTTGGACCCAACCTTCTTTTAAAATCAGTGAGTTTTAGGAATAAAAGGCATTGCACCATTTGTTATTGTCAAAAGCCCATTATCCTTAATGAAAGAAGACTACTTTTCCTTCAAGCCCACTAACCAAGCCCTTTCATAATTTTGGCCCACTAATACTAGCTGCCCGTTTCCTTTAATCACACAATTAACCTTCTGATCCTATTTTCAAAATTCAAATCCAATTTAGAATTCCCAAATTCTTGGGATTTGCCGTAATTTACATCATTAATTATGCAATTAAGGGGTTGATCTTCCAACAACTCTACAATGTTCATTAATCTCTCATTACCCACGAAACACTTTTTTCCCCTACAACCCTTCCTTCCCTTCAGCCACATACCCCCCTTTTTTTCCAGCCCTCCCTTCATCTTCTATGTACCAGTTTTTTGGTGCCACCACCCCTAAAAATCCTCTCTTTCATTTTGGCTAAGCTTGTTCAGTTATGAATAACCTTTATTTTGATTCAAAACACTTCTCCACCATAGTATACATCTAAAAAAGTTCAAAGAAATCCATTACTTGGTTTTTGAATTCAATTTTTTGCCTGGTAGAGATTCAAGTGCTTCTCGGTCAACTAATCTACTTCAATGAAGCCTTCGCACCACTGCCCAGACTTCCTTATGCCACAAATTAAAATGTAATTCCTCAATTGCTATCCAACCTCCAAGAAACGAGACTCTGCTATGCTCCTTGTTTGATTCGTGACAACACTTCTTCAATTTTACCATAATTGGACCTTCAAGAAAACAAGTTTTATCCCTACATATTTCATCAACCTTCATTTCATTTTTACAAAAGAAGATTACTTTATCAGTCTGGAATCCCCAAAGCCTTAGACAAAGCATTCTAATTTCACTCCAAGGTTGAAACAAACTTTCCCCAATACAAACTGCTTCATTTTTCCATTTCTGCTCATGTAAATGAGATCCAGTGATTTCATTTGCTTTTTAACCAACCCCAATTCTTCATTTCCATTAACAGGGCATTCTCATTTGCCTTTAAACAGCCCCTGTTCTTCATCTCCATGGACAGTGCACTATCATTTTTCCCCAGAACATCACCAATCAAGTCCACAAATTTCAGCCAACCCTCACCCTTGTAACCTTTAGGAACAATAAGTCTTATTCTTCTACCATTATTCATCAGCTTGGAGATTCTTATAAATATCCCAAAGCAGCTAGACTCCATTTCAACCTAGACACAGTAACCACCCTCCCTAAATTTCTTGAAAAAACCTCCCCTGCCATTCCACAATAAAGCTTGAGAGAATACCTCCTTTAACCACTTGATACACTCCCTACTAATGCTACATGAGAAAGATCCTGATCTACACCCTTCAATGATTTGAAACAAGAACCACTTGACCCATCAGCTACCACCTTGAAACTCTTATGTTCAATCTTATCCTTTGGCATCCTATATTACTTTAGGACTCTGAACTCACATCACAAACTATCAATTTAATAGTCCTAGTTTTGAATCTATAGACTTTGCTCAAAGTGACTTGATTTTGCTAATACTCACTTTTTAAGATCCTTGTGACCAAAGCAGGCTCACTTAACTCCTGACTCGCTAAATGGTCGATAATGCTCTCACAGTACGACATAATATTCGTACCAAAAAAGGTCGTGAAAAGACAGGTACTGACAGATTTCTTGGAAGGACATCCTCCACGGGAGAACTTAAAATTGCAAGAAAAATTTCCTGACAAAGCAGTAGACTGCACTGATGTCGTATCCAAGACCCACATCAAAAGCCTGGGAGACATATTTTGATGGCGCCGATTCTTATCATGTTGTTCTTACTTTTATTCATTCTTCTTTTGAGCCTCAATCTTATAAGGAGGTTTGTGCTGATCCTAATTGGATTAAAACAATGCAAGATGAATTGGTTGCTCTTTGTAAAGCCAGTACTTGAGATTTAGTTTCTTTCCCTATTGTAAAGCACATTGTCGTTTGCAAATGAGTTTACAAGGTTAAGAATAGTCCTGATGGTTCCCTTGAGCGTTATAAAGCTCAATTAATAGCTAAAGAGTTTTCTCAGAAATATAATGTTAACTCTAAGGAAACATTTGCTCTTGTTGACAAAATAACTATTGTTTGCACTCTGATTTCAGCTATTGTAGTTCATCAATAGCCTCTACTTCAACTTGATGTTACTAATGCCTTTCTGAAGGGGTATGATGCTAGACAAAAAAAATAAAAAAATATATAGAGGAGAAGAAAGAACAGGTTGAAGGAATTTACCTGGTGAAAAAACCAAATTCTCCACCGAGGAGATAGGGGGTGGAAGGGATTTACTTGCATCGACCAAGAAACACAAAATTCTCCACAGAGAATAATCAATTCATATTCATAATCCCTCTCTAATATAAATAAAAGGATTACATCCATATTTATATGCTAAGTCCTCTACAAAACAAAAAAAACTACTTTCCTACGAAAATTTTAGAATAGTTTCATAACCAAACTCTCACATTTCTATCCTACTAAAACTTTATAACAATTCTCTAATCAAATTCTCAATAATACATCTAGTCTTAGTTAAACAAATATTCCATAAAAAAACATAATAATACTAAATAAATAATAAAATCTAACTCTTCAATCTAAGCTTATCCAACTCCTTTTCGATCTCTATCAGGGTATCTCAATGAAGAGCTTTTATATATGTCCACCTCCTGGACCTTCTCATCCCATTAGTTATGCTTGTCGCACGCATTGAGCTCTTTATGGTCTAAAGTAAGCCCCAAGAGCCTCGTATGAACATTTTTAAACTATTGTAACTAAAAGTGGTTTGCTTTCTAGTGCTCATGATCCAACTCTATTTGCTTGTCATTCTATCCATGGACTAGTTCTCCTTGGAAGTGAGGCTATATAGATGTCAGGCGCTTTGCTTTCGCCTCTCAAAACTAATTCGACTACTTACAAGTGGATTATATGACTATCACTTGTCCGGATACTGTTGCTATTAAACAAGTGAAACATTTTTTACTTGAGTTTCAAATGAAGGATTTGGTTACTCTCCATTATTTCTTAGGTGTTAAGGTTGCTTCTCCTAAAGGCTCTCATTTATCTCAATCTAAGGTTGCTAATGAGCTTATTCATCATGCCAAATTAGCATATGATGGAATCGTTGCTACTCCTATCAAGCTGAACATCCAATTCTCAAGTTTTGATTGTGATTTTCTTGATGATCCTACATTGTAGCATGAACTAGTTGGTTGTTCGATTTATCTCCCCGTTACTTGCCCAGATATTGCCTACATTATTCATATTGTTTAGTCAAGTTGTCTCTACTCCTCGTATTACTGAATTGGGTTGCCCTACGTCATATTTTTTCGTATGTACACAGCCCAGTAATCTAGAGCTTATAATTGCCCTCAACTTCCTCTCTAAGCCTACATGTCTATATTGATGTTGATTGGGATGGTGATAATACTACTTACAAGTCATCCACATGTTTTTGTATTTTTTGGGTGATTCTTTTTTTTTTTTTGGGTAATACTACTTACAACTGTCAACTATTGTTTATTCTACTACTAAGATTGAGCATTGTGCATTTGTGCCATGGCACACATCCCTACTAAAATTGTTTGACTTTGTTGGCTTCTAGCTGAGATGGGGTTGTCCGTTCCTCTCCTACTCCTCTGTTTTGTGATGATAAGAGTGCTATCCAGATTGCCCATAATTCAGTCCCTCATGAATGCAAGAAGAATGTTCAGATCGATTATCATTTTGCTCATCAACAACTTTAACTGGGCACTATTACTTTATGATTTATATCGTTCACTAGAACTTGCATATTTCATCACTATGTTTCAATTCAACTCATTTTCAATTCTTATTTGACATAGTTTGAGTTGGTGTGAGAGCGTATAAAAGTTTTAATATAATAGGGGTATTTTTGCCTTCTGGGCAGTCTAGGGTTTTCTAATTTTCTTAGGCTATATATATTGTTGTAATCTAGTTTATTGCCTTGGGAAAAAGTATTATTAGCACCCAAGTAGGGTTTTATAGTTGTCCGCAGGTGATATACACCTCATAATCAAGTGAAATTAGATCCGGAATTAGTTTCATCTGTACTGCCAAATAGGACATATGCCCATGTGAAGTTCCCTGATGTTTAGGAATAGATGATTGTCAAAATGCTAAAATCTACGCTAACTAATTCTGAAGTGCGTGTGGCACTCTCTGGGATTTTTTTCAAGCTTCTAAGCGGATCAAAGTGATGAACAGTAGTCAGTAGGTCAGATATAACACCTTGCAAAGACATAGACTTGCAGGGTAAAGACCATCCCTGGGTTACTAGCATAAAATGTTTCACTGGGAATCAGGGGCTTGTGTTTCCTGAGGGGCGCATATATATCATCATGGCACGTAGAACGAGGTCAAAGACAAACCTCTCTGTGTGTACCTTTTTGAATTCTCCTATTGTCCACAAATTGCAAGTGCATATTGACAGAAACCACTTCTGGTGATACCATTCACACTAATATCAACCATCAATAACAAAACACCTTAGCACTGAACCACATCCTACCTCACATAAAAAGGTTGTGTATATTTTCAGCACTTTGATGCCATGAATATTTCTCTAACAAGAATGTTGGGTTAGATTAGGAGGCACGCAATTATCATGAACTTCTTTTTTCTGCAAAATTATCTCTACTAACCTTAAGTAAGGATTCATTCTGAACGGCAAAACTTAGTACCATCTATCCAAATAGGTCTCAAGTCACTTATATCTTTCATGGCAAATAATAGGAGTTATACCACCTAAGCAATGGAATCTATATCCCAGCAATGTCTTAGTCGTGTCCGACTGAATTCACCATTCATAATACTTCAAGCCGTGTTGGACACGTGTCTGGCTGTGTCCACCACTACCAAAGCACCCCTCCAGAAAGTATCCGTGCTTCCTAGGACACCAACAAAACACTACGAAAGGATGCTGCTTTTGCAGTTGCACTGATATGAAATGTAGTTCATCGGGGACACATTCGAGATTTATAATCATGATATAGGCCTTTGAGATCCTCATTCTTCTGCTTTGCAACATTATAGTGAAAATAATCAAATATCATTGCCAGCCCACAAGAGTATGTGGTTCTTAAAGAGTTTGTTGGATAACATGAATATGAAACGTATGATTGCTCAATCAATACCCAAAGCTTTCAGTAGCTAAGCAAAGTAGCAAACACAGGGCATGGTAATGTACGTGCTTAATCAATTGCCAGTCTTTAGTCACTTTTTGACCTGTTTAACAGTATCTAACCCATCTCAACTTAACACTGCAATCTTTTGAACTTAGTGGTCCAGCATTACTACATTTATACTACGAATAACATTCAAAAGTTGCCCCTCCCAAAAAAGGCATGCCTTGCATACAATATAGTGGTCTACCACTGAAACGAATTTTAATAAAATGAACACGCATTTTTAACAACTGAAAGCTACCTACCTGGGAAACAGGGGCTCCTGTGATATTACGAGGAGTAGCCTTTGCGGGAGATTCACCATATTTATAAGAGCATTCCGTGTATGCAGATCCAATACCCACTCCAGCACCCAAAGCTACTGATGCCCAGCGTGTCACGGGGCTCCCTGACATGACAAATCAGGCTAAATTAGTTGTTTTAATGAATTAATTTGACAGAAAAGGGTGAGTGCTCCGAGGCTTAAAAGACTGTGTGTGTACCAACATAGTTTTTGTTCTCATGTAACTGAAACCACAAAAAACAGCAAAACAAACTGTGAATAACTTACAAAAGCAAATCATTTACACCTTTTTTCCATTTCCTTTATTTCATGTTTGCACGGCAAGAACAAACTTAATTCTCAAATGTAGTCCCAGATAAACATACAGTATGACCTTTAAGATTACTAACCACTTAATTTCAATACTAAATTTTATTTTATTTTTTAATAAGAAACAAAGCTTTCATTATATTAATGACATATAGTATGTAAAAGTGGGTAAGAAGTCCACCCTACTTTATAGAAGGTTACAATATAAAGAGACAACGACAATATGCAGCAATATAAGTCAAATGAGAATTCATCCAACTACATGCTGCCTTCCAATCAATTGTAATAGAGAAAAACGCATATCCCTTGAATTCTTTAGTGGTCGACGCACATAGGGAAGCCAAGAACTTCACTCTCTCCCAAAGGAACTCCACAAATTCCTCTTTATATTCGAAAATTCACCTATTCCTTCCAACTATACCACTCAAAAGATTGTCATAACGACACATTCCCACAAAATAGATTCTCTTCTCCCCAGTGTTATTATGACAAAAAACAAATCGAAGCGAACCCATCTCGTGAGGGCTTAGGCGATAAGCGAGAAGCGAAGCAAGAAGCGAAGCGAACAATATAAAAAATAAGTAAATATTTTAGTTTCATACTTTGATTACTCCTAAATATTCAAGTTTTAACTTTACAAATATAAAATATTTAAATGCAATCAAAATAATAAACATAAACATATTTTAAATAGATAAGATATTAAATATTGAACATTATTGTATTCTAAAAATAATCAATTGACATAATCACATCATCTAAATGTAAAGTTAGCAAATGTGGGTTCGATTTTCACCGTGATTGATTAATATCACCACTAAACAAAGCACTCATAAATTGATTAACAAGAGCATTCACATCAAAACAAAGTATTCAATATTATCTAATCATAATAAGATAGATTATCATATGATACTGTTATATGAATCATTCAATTTATTTTATACATATATACATATAACATCATCTCTACTAGGGTTTGGTTAATGTTAAAGAAGAAGAGGGGGAAGAAAGAGAAAACAAAAAAACTGTAGTTAGGCGTTCGCTTTTCTTGCCTGACTCGCTTCTTCGCTTTGTCTCCTAAACTTGCTTTTTCCTCGCTTTACTTAACTTCACTTCGCCTTGAATGTTTAAGACGACCAAGGCTCACTTCGCTTCTCACCTAGGCTCGCTTTTCACAACACTACTTCTCCCTTTCCCAAACACACTTCTATTTGTTTCAAATAATGATACACATTCTTGTGGAATAACCCAACTCAAGTTAAATTCACTATTAGCTCTAAACCACAACTTTAGAGCTACCGGACAATGTAGAAAGAGATGATCCGTATTTTCACTAGTACACTTACACATTATACACCATTGTGGGGCAAGACAAGAGCTTGGTCTTCTCCTTTGCAACAAATCACAAGTGTTGAGCTTTCCATGAGCATTAGTCCATGTAAAAACCTGTCCTTTCACTGGCACTTTGGCCTTCCATATCATCTCATGAGGTTCAAACAAAGGAGTGGATTGATCATTAATCAAAGCATAGAAGTACGATTTGCAAGAAAAGCCACTAGATGAATTAAGAATCCACTTTCTTCTATCTCCCACCCCTGAAATGAGGAATCACCCAACCGTATATGTTTTCAAAACCGCATTCTCTAACCATTCCCCTACATCCACTCTAACATGCTTCATGAACTCTTCTAAACCCTAGACACCAAAAAGAGCCCCTAACCACAACATTCAAGTCTCAACTATTTGGATGAAGTCCATATTTGCTTTTGATAACTTCATCCCATAAAGCACACTGTTTAAATGGAAATCTCCATAACCCCTACCTAACAGTTCAATATTTTTCTTTACTATATTTTCCAACCATACACCCCCCCTCTTTTACACCTTGATTTGGAGATTGCCTCTCACCTAACAAGATGGTCTTTTTTTCCTTCTCCATTTCCTTCCCACAAAAAATCTCTAATCAATTTTTCAATTCTACAAACAATCTTTCTAAAAATCTTAAAAAGAGACAAAATAAATAGGGATACTAACACAAAATTGATTGAACTAAGGGGAGTCTACCTCCCCTAAAAACAAGTGTTTTTCCACCCTTCTAATCTCTTTTGGACCCTCCATATGGCCGAATTCCAAAAAACTCACCAATAAAGGATTCCCCCCCAATGGTAGCTCCAAATACTTTAGGGGCCACTCGCCAATTTCGCACCCTACACTATTTGCAATCCTATCTATCCTCTCTTTTTGGATAGTAATTCTTACTATTAAACTCTTAAACATATTCACTTTCAAACTCGACAATTACCCTAAAAACCTCAATAACCTCTATCACATTCTTAAATTTTTTTCATCCCCAGATGCCAAAAATACAGGATCATCTACAAACTATAGATGTGACACCTCCAAAAGATCCATACCATTATGATCTCTAGCCATATTCACTAACCTACTAAGTCTATCTGCTACTAAAGAAAAGAGAAAATGTGACAATGGATCCTCAATACTAAATATGAGTTGTTTATTTCACTTTTGATTGGGTTTCCCATGATAGAAGAGTCTTTAATGCCTCTACAGCATCACATCTTACTAATATCCCAAAAAATAATAAAGGAAGGCTAAGAAAATGATTTTTTTATTAAAAAAAAAAAGACACACTAAACACGTGGGAGAACCTGCAAATGCTTTCAATGTCCATCAAGAAAATTTTTAAAAGCAATTCAATCCGAAAAGGGATCATTAAACCATGTCAACCAAACGTCTTACAAATGAATGTAATATATCATAGGTGAACATGAAAAAACAATTGGAACATAAAATCAATTGCACACCATGGAAAAATAAGCTGATTTTTAAAGAAAAATGAAAAAAAAAGTAACAAAAAAGAATCAACTTTCTAGTGACTACTTGATATCCCACCCCTCCCAAAAAGAAAGAAAATACAAAAAGAACTTCAATTGATAAGTATCATTATCCATGCGCAAGGTGCATGACAATGACATGGGGCATGCATAATTCTAATGTACACCTCATGGCACCAACCATATTGCTAAATCAGTTCCTTTCGAGGGAATGAAGATAGGGCGTTGTGCAGTAACTAGAAGTGAGTATACTAAACCTTCACGACTGTTACTTTTATTGACATTGATGAATGTGGAGTAAGGACTCTTATTAAATACATATGGGATAGATATGAGCTAAGAACTGTGTTGACCGAAGCTTTCAACATCCCAGAATGNAAGTGAGTATACTAAACCTTCACGACTGTTACTTTTATTGACATTGATGAATGTGGGGTAAGGACTCTTATTAAATACATATGGGATAGATATGAGCTAAGAACTGTGTTGACTGAAGCTTTCAACATCCCAGAACGACAAGGAGAGCATCGAGAGGTTGAATCCATAGTAAATAAGATGGCATAGACATAGAATGGGATTGATGGACAAATGCCACATAAAATGCAATGTCAAAACAAAGCAAATTACATTGAAGAAAAAACTAAAACCTCGACACCTCAAACCGATTTGAACTTTTGCATAATAATCATCTCAATGAAGAGACTGGAATAACATCATATGCACTTCATACCGCCGAATCAAACAGATCCACAAGAAAAGAAATTCCATAGATATCTGGCAATTCCTAAAATCATTCGTATTACATACTTTAAGTTATTCTCTTCCTTGGAACACTTCCACAAAGTATAATAGTAACTATAAACTACAACAATTTCTAAGTATTGGCTTACTAAGACTTTTATGGTTTGTGGAGTACCACTTTGGCATCATATGTACTTCTTTGAGTAAGGAGGATAAAGGCAACTGGCAGAAATCAATAAATTTGAGTATCTCAAAGCCCTCAAAGTTTTACAAGTACTTTTTGCTAATAAGCCACAGACCTTCAATTCTACACAGTTTTATAGAAACCACATTCCATAAATATTTTTCCTCTGTAACACACTCACTTTTCCTTCACGGTTTGCCACACAATGATTCCAACATTCTCATCTTGCTCCACTCACCATCCCACAATAAAAACCATTACCCACCTTCCAATTATCTTACAAAACTTTATTTTTAAAAAACAAGCTCTTTTTCCCTCCTTGTGTGGGTTCAATAAAAGCCAGCATGAGAGATATAACAAAATAAAGACAAGCAACAAATCACAAAAGATTCAGCAACAAACCAGCACACCAAGATTTAAGTGCAGAATCCTTCAGCATGAAGGGAAACCCCAACAAATTCTTCCACCATAAAAATAAAAGCAATAATAAGAGTAAAATAGTTTGTTAAATAAATTCAAATTAAAGGTTATGAATATCAAAAGCAACCGAATGGTTATAATTAGTCCTTTCTTTTATGGGTTGCACTTGAGACTTTTTCTTCTTTGTTCGTGTTTTTTCAATTTTCGGTCTTTTGTATCTAATGATTTTTTTACTGTAAAATATATAGTAAATATAAAAATATTATTAATATTATCTATAGAGAAAAAGTTAACTGTGTGTCCACCCAGAAGTAAATTTCTGGCTCCGCCCCTGCTCGAACCCAATGAGGCGCAGATGATTCCCATGCCAACACCATTATGTCCAAAATTAAATAACTTCCTTTCTGAAACCGATCACGGGTTGCTTGTAGACAATTTTCTGCTCTACTATTAATTCCTGCCACACTTGCACATTCATATTGACTCCAGGCACTATCCCAAATGCTAACCAAACTCAATTTCAAAAATTTGAAAAAAAAACGAAATGATACCAATTTCATTTCCACATACAAATGAACCCTAAAAGTCACCATGCTAGATGCATCTCTATTGAATAACAAGTACAACGTCTTCCTCAAATCTAGAACATCATTAAGAAATCAAAATATAGATTTCCGATTTCCGGCTGTAGATAAATAAGCTATAGTCGTAACACACATATATATAGAAACACAGAAATATAGCATAAATGAATAAAAAAACTGTGAAGCCGGGTATTAAAATTTCTAAACCGATTATTTTCTTCAGGAGTTATTTTCTCGGAAAGCAAACAGAGGGTAAAGAAAATGAGACGTACGGAAGAGGAGGAGACCACCAAAAGCGCCAGCCAAGGAAGAGTAAACGAAGCGACGGAGACCCAAATCGAGACAGGCCTCCCACTTGGCATTGAGGTCGTAGTGCGGTGGGATTTGCGGATTCTTTTCTTCAGCCATTGCTACAGATTCTTCAGAACGCTTACACCAAGCAGCCTCGCGTTTTTCTCTTCGATATTCTGACCGAGGGTTTTGTTTCGTGTCTGTAAAACAATATGATTATACTATTTTTTTGATGCCCAAAAAGAAAAGAAAAAACAGTTTTATATGGGGAATTCTCTTATTTTGGGCTGAGCGTTGGCTCGAATGCAAATACGGGAAGATTTGGGTTGGGTAGGGTTATGTTTTTTTTTTTTTCCTTAAGAGAAGGGTTGTGTTTACTTGAGGGATTTAGTAAGTGGGTTCGAAATTTTGGGTTAATGATTTTAGGTTCGAGAGTAAATACTGTATCAAGATAGAATGATATTTGCCTAAAATCTCCAAAGTGGGTAATATCAACACCACATGTGAAAAAGCTAACCGAAGGGATTGAGAGTACCTTTGACCCTGGTGTAACAGTTGTACGAGCGCAGTTGGTGAATAACATATTAAACAGGACTGTTTGGAGAGACAAGGTGCGTTAGGCCAATTTGNCTGGTGTAACAGTTGTACGAGCGCAGTTGGTGAATAACATATTAAACGGGACTGTTTGGAGAGACAAGGTGCGTTAGGTCAATTCGAAATAGGTTTAGACCAGCAGATTGAAAAGACAATCGACTAGGATAGGGAATCAATTAGAATTGATCGGGTTAGGTTAGAAACACTCCCGAGCAGGTGTGTGCCGAGCAGAGTATGTGAGAATCAAGTCAATGATACATCAAACAAATTAGTACCCAAGTGGAACTCTACTTCCACGGAATAAGGGATAAGAACAAACTCCAACCATGCAGAGGATAAGATTTGACAAATCAAATAGCTAGACTATCCCGAATAATCAGAGGTTGTGTTAAACAGCCAAGAAGAAAACTATCTAAATCATAGGTGCTCATTATTATGGGACCTAAAAAATCGACTAATGAAAAAAGAAAGCTAGAATGTTCAAACACGAATTAAGGAATGTCTGGCTAGAATCTAGGTGTGTCACTGTGTTCTAACCTGGACTCTAGTCCAAAATAATTGGAGACATACTTCTTATAAACACTCGATGAATTTAAGTCTAAGGTACACACATTTTATCTCATGAATTGTATATATTCTCTTCTGTCATTACTAATTTAAGCATGGGAGTGCCTCCGACCAGGACCCCACCAGTCTACGACAGTTCATTCATTTTGCAAGGTAGAGACAATCCTAAGGGCTCATCCCATACAAATCTCTTTATTCTAATTGGTGCGGATTTTCTCTCGTACAATCTCTATATTCTATAGCAATGTAACTAGGATGCCGAAGAAACCTCCATCCTACAAATCTTAGGGGTTGTGTCTTTTCTAGATATTGGTTTCTTCTCCAGCAACTGAATTTTCAAATTTGGGTTCAGCNTAAATTCAAATTAAAGGTTATGAATATCAAAAGCAACCGAATGGTTATAATTAGTCCTTTCTTTTATGGGTTGCACTTGAGACTTTTTCTTCTTTGTTCGTGTTTTTTCAATTTTCGGTCTTTTGTATCTAATGATTTTTTTACTGTAAAATATATAGTAAATATAAAAATATTATTAATATTATCTATAGAGAAAAAGTTAACTGTGTGTCCACCCAGAAGTAAATTTCTGGCTCCGCCCCTGCTCGAACCCAATGAGGCGCAGATGATTCCCATGCCAACACCATTATGTCCAAAATTAAATAACTTCCTTTCTGAAACCGATCACGGGTTGCTTGTAGACAATTTTCTGCTCTACTATTAATTCCTGCCACACTTGCACATTCATATTGACTCCAGGCACTATCCCAAATGCTAACCAAACTCAATTTCAAAAATTTGAAAAAAAAACGAAATGATACCAATTTCATTTCCACATACAAATGAACCCTAAAAGTCACCATGCTAGATGCATCTCTATTGAATAACAAGTACAACGTCTTCCTCAAATCTAGAACATCATTAAGAAATCAAAATATAGATTTCCGATTTCCGGCTGTAGATAAATAAGCTATAGTCGTAACACACATATATATAGAAACACAGAAATATAGCATAAATGAATAAAAAAACTGTGAAGCCGGGTATTAAAATTTCTAAACCGATTATTTTCTTCAGGAGTTATTTTCTCGGAAAGCAAACAGAGGGTAAAGAAAATGAGACGTACGGAAGAGGAGGAGACCACCAAAAGCGCCAGCCAAGGAAGAGTAAACGAAGCGACGGAGACCCAAATCGAGACAGGCCTCCCACTTGGCATTGAGGTCGCAGTGCGGTGGGATTTGCGGATTCTTTTCTTCAGCCATTGCTACAGATTCTTCAGAACGCTTACACCAAGCAGCCTCGCGTTTTTCTCTTCGATATTCTGACCGAGGGTTTTGTTTCGTGTCTGTAAAACAATATGATTATACTATTTTTTTGATGCCCAAAAAGAAAAGAAAAAACAGTTTTATATGGGGAAAGATGGATTCTCTTATTTTGGGCTGAGCGTTGGCTCGAATGCAAATACGGGAAGATTTGGGTTGGGTAGGGTTATGTTTTTTTTTTTCCCTGAAGAGAAGGGTTGTGTTTACTTGAGGGATTTAGTAAGTGGGTTCGAAATTTTGGGTTAATGATTTTAGGTTTGAGAGTAAATACTGTATCAAGATAGAATGATATTTGCCTAAAATCTCCAAAGTGGGTAATATGGANATTATGTTGCCTTCAAGATATCTGGCTTCATTCTATGCAAACAACACAAATGTCTACTGATCTTCCTTCGTCAACAGTCCTACCCAAATATAACTACCTATTCCCCCACTACTCCCATGTTCTACACGTAATTTACCCTTAATACACAACTCAACTACCAATAACTATACACAGTTACTTACTCNGCCTAAAATCTCCAAAGTGGGTAATATGGACACCACATGTGAAAAAGCTAACCGAAGGGATTGAGAGTACCTTTGACCCTGGTGTAACAGTTGTACGAGCGCAGTTGGTGAATAACATATTAAACGGGACTGTTTGGAGAGACAAGGTGCGTTAGGTCAATTCGNATTTCTCAACTTTGGCCAGCAAATCAACTATGCTTGTCTGAGGGTGTTTAAACATAGAAAAATAGAATTTGGAAGGTTGCAAACCAATTATAAATGTCGCCATGGCAACTGTGATGCTCCAAAAACCAAGAGTCCTTTGTCAATCCGTTGATCACCCATCAACCCGTAGAATACCCATGGATACCGTATAACTCAATATCACGCCATTATACCCCATTTATCGGGATCCATAATTTAAAAAAATTCAGGCATAGTCTCCTTTGTACGGAGAGCTCTACCCAAAACACAATCTATGCAATCGTATAATCACATGACCCATCCGNGGTTGTGTTAAACAGCCAAGAAGAAAACTATCTAAATCATAGGTGCTCATTATTATGGGACCTAAAAAATCGACTAATGAAAAAAGAAAGCTAGAATGTTCAAACACGAATCAAGGAATGTCTGGCTAGAATCTAGGTGTGTCACTGTGTTCTAACCTGGACTCTAGTCCAAAATAATTGGAGACATACTCCTTATAAACACTCGATGAATTTAAGTCTAAGGTACACACATTTTATCTCATGAATTGTATATATTCTCTTCTGTCATTACTAATTTAAGCATGGGAGTGCCTCCGACCAGGACCCCACCAGTCTACGACAGTTCATTCATTTTGCAAGGTAGAGACAATCCTAAGGGCTCATCCCATACAAATCTCTTTATTCTAATTGGTGCGGATTTTCTCTCGTACAATCTCTATATTCTATAGCAATGTAACTAGGATGCCGAAGAAACCTCCATCCTACAAATCTTAGGGGCTGTGTCTTTTCTAGATATTGGTTTCTTCTCCAGCAACTGAATTTTCAAATTTGGGTTCAGCTTTCAAATTTGGGTTTCATCTCTTCGACAACTGGGTTGATCTTCTCCGTCATGTACCAGATTTGGGACCTTTTAAGTTACTTGGATTACTCCGCGAAGCTCTAGCAACGCAATTCAATCAATAGTTAGATTTTCCTTTTTTATTTTATTTTATCAAGTTTAATATATTAAAATAATTTTATTTCCAAACAGGTTTTACATTTTCTATTTTGTGAAAACTGTTTTTGAAATCATCTAAACAAGTTCTTTGTCTCAGAAATACTTTTTTAAAACTCTTCTTAAAAACTATTTTTGAATATTGTTTTTAGAGGCACAAACCAAACAGGCCCTTAATTTCGTAGATTTTTTGAATTTTTCATTTTTTTTAAATCCTATGTGGAGTTAATTTGTTGGTTCTTACTAAAACAATTTCTTTTTTAATTGGAGAACTCATTTTTATAATCCTAATTTTTTCGTTAACAGTCCTACTCAAATATTACTACCTATTCTCCCACTACCCCTTGTTCTACACGTAACTTACCCTTAATACACAACTCAACTATCAATAACTATACACAATTACCTACTTTATTTCGATATCTATTATCTTGCCTTTCTCTTTGTTTATTGCCCCTCTTTCTTTGTCGCTCATTGGGCTACAAAATATTTCAGATCAATTGGTGCACTACAATAGATTCTATGGAAGTGATCATTCCTCTATTTCCTTGTAAGCATTACATTGATAAAACCAAAATATATCCCGTTGGTTGCTAATTTTATACACATTATGTTGCCTTCAAGATATCTGGCTTCATTCTATGCAAACAACACAAATGTCTATTGATCTTCCTTCGTCAACAGTCCTACCCAAATATAACTACCTATTCCCCCACTACTCCCATGTTCTACATGTAATTTACCCTTAATACACAACTCAACTACCAATAACTATACACAGTTACTTACCCNAGAGAAGTCTTGAAATCTTTCTTTTTCCTTCTCTTTCTCTTCCAACTTGAACCCAACAGAGATGTGTCTAAAAAATCAGATATTTGTTCCTATTTACACACTTTAACGCTTGGTCCACGTCGCACCACACGCCTCTTTTTCAGGGTCCGTTTTTCCCCGAAATGATTAAATTTCACTCCACTTCAAGTTCAAATATTTTTATTTCAACTTGCTTTAAATTATTTTTTAAATTTTTAAATTTTATTAAAAATTTTATTTTTTGGGTCACTCGAGACCCGACCGCCTCGTAAAATGTGAAAAATTTGACTATTTCGGAATGCGACAAAATTTGTTTGGGTGACTAGATTTCGTGAGATGAATCTAATGGTGAAGTTCGTTTCGTCATCCAAGCTTTAGAAAAATAAGGGTTCTCAACCTGCACTGTAGTGGCAATTTACCGTTTTACTTTTTTTCATAAAAAGTTCAAATTTATTCAGATTTTATATTATTCCCCCTTAAAAGAATTCCGTCCCTGAAATTCNATCCGTTGATCACCCATCAACCCGTAGAATACCCATGGATACCGTATAACTCAATATCACGCCATTATACCCCATTTATCGGGATCCATAATTTAAAAAAATTCAGGCATAGTCTCCTTTGTACGGGGAGCTCTACCCAAAACACAATCTATGCAATCGTATAATCACATGACCCATCTGAGGTCCAATACACAACATTGACCACATCGGGGTCCATTTATCCATACTCATATAACAACATTTAATCACATGACCCATCCGAGGTCCAATATACATCAATTCATACTCTCACGTCATGAATTTATGCATTAAACATAGTTAATACAAGTTCAAATTAAAATTCTTTAACATACATTGCATGCCAAAAACTAAATTACAAGTCTAGTTTTATAAAAATATCATTTAAAGTCACATTTCAACTTTTCTTCAATATTTGGGCCCCGATTAAGAGCCTTCCACCAGTGTGAACCCCGCACCTGAAATGTTTTTCCATATAAGGTGAGTCATGCTCAATAGAGTATCTCTTATAAAGGCTACTCCCCAACCTAAGTGCATATGAAATGTTCACATACAACATTCAACAAGCAACAAACATCCCAAACAAGAATATGTAATTCAATGTTGAAAATCATCATGTCATGCCATGAAATGAAATAAGACTCACTCATGCACTTTCAATGTGTATAAATCCGTCATTAATGAAATACATCCAATGATCTTTTCGAAATAAAAATCATGTCTTTATTTTAAAACAAAATCATGTATTTTTGTTGGATGGTACACATTGAATGACTGTTTTATAAAACAAAACCATGTTTCTTTGTTGGATAGCGGAGTTTTGGTGTCGCACCGCCGGTTTCGCATACCGATACATTTTTCCAAAATTGCACCACAAGAGAGTGTATGAACCAAGTAATCGGTTCTTGTACCCAAGGGAGAATCTAGCACTGCTTGCTGTATCTAACACAAGCTTTTCATGCAAACTATGCGACTCAGTCGAATCNGTGTATGAACCAAGTAATCGGTTCTTGTACCCAAGGGAGAATCTAGCACTGCTTGCTGTATCTAACACAAGCTTTTCATGCAAACTATGCGACTCAGTCGAATCTTCAATCCAACTTTCCTCGAGTCCAAATATCATCCACCAAGAATGGTGTTTGGTCAACCATGCACACACACCCACACTCATGTCTCATGCCCCATGGATGCGATGCCTCCGTGCAAATGTAATGTAATGTACCATTGCAACATCAATGTCATGCCCATGTGTAATGAATGTTATATGGGCTAATTTAACCACATTCAACATTTTCATGGCAAATTATATCCAAAGCATATAACTTCCATAAAGTCATCACAAAGTCAATATATATCATAGTAGTATATACCAACATTCACATTTAACAACAATTTTTCCTAAGCATGTCATACATAATCTATGCAACAACACACTTAATTTTCACATAGACATTTTGTCAAACAACTTCAAGGCACCAAATCATGTTATCACATAAAAATGCCCATAATAATCACATGAATCAAAAAATCACATTTAGTCATTTCCACATACCCTATTATCAAAATTCCAAGAAATTATAATCTAGTAATTCCTATGTATTCAAGTCAAGATAGAATTTATTCTACCCATTTCCAATGTCCATTTCACATTTCAAATACAATAGACATTTGTTAAATCAAATCTAACAACCTACCCATTTCATACAATTATCATAGGTTGGAAATAAAGCTAAGTAGGATGAAAACTCTACCTCTTGAAGCATAAAACAATGCTAGGAAGCTCTAAGAACCCAAAACTTGTCCAACACCAAAATTTTTTCAAAATCCCATCTTTGAATATTTGGTGAAATCCTTCATTTTTGATATGGTTATGTAGTCCTCGTTGTGTAGATCGACTTTAATACTTGGCCCGAAAAATTCTGACAGGTGGAACTCTATAGATCTAAGAGAGAAGTCTTGAAATCTTTCTTTTTCCTTCTCTTTCTCTTCCAACTTGAACCCAATAGAGATGTGTCTAAAAAATCAGATATTTGTTCCTATTTACACACTTTAACGCTTGGTCCACGTCGCACCACACGCCTATTTTTCAGGGTCCGTTTTTCCCCGAAATGATTAAATTTCACTCCACTTCAAGTTCAAATATTTTTATTTCAACTTGTTTTAAATTATTTTTAAAATTTTTAAATTTTATTAAAAATTTTATTTTTTGGGTCACTCGAGACCCGACCGCCTCGTAAGATGTGAAAAATTTGACTATTTCGGAATGCGACAAAATTTGTCTGGGTGACTAGATTTCGTGAGATGAATCCAATGGTGAAGTTCGTTTCGTCATCCAAGCTTTAGAAAAATAAGGGTTCTCAACCTGCACTGTAGTGGCAATTTACCGTTTTACTCTTTTTCATAAAAAGTTTAAATTTATTCAGATTTTATATTATTCCCCCTTAAAAGAATTCCGTCCCTGAAATTCACACACACACACACATGCACATTCAACCACATGCATATGCAATAGTCATATAATACTAAATGACTATAAAAATGTACCTCCATTATCGAATAAGAAAGGATAACTAGTACGTATAGTGTCTTCACATTCTCATGTCAC